GAGATAACACAGGCACTGTGTTTGAGGAAACTGAGAGTATCTCAGTGGGTGAATTGATTAAAAGTCCGGTTTTCAGCGAAGACGAGTCATCGGATAGCTCGCTCTGGATTGATTTGGGTCAGAGTCCTGCTGATTCTGATAATGCAGGTCCTCGGAACAAGCAAAAGAGTCCCTTACTGGTTCCCAAAAACCACAAACGAAGAATCTCGCCAAAACCAGCTTCAAAGGCTAATAATGGCAGCAACGGTGGGAGGCATGTTCTCTCTTTTGATGCTGCTGTTTTGTCAGTATCACATGAAGTGGGTGACGAAGTCTCAGAAGAAGAAAAAACTGAAATGAATCAGATAGACACCAGTCATCGGTTGCGGGTTAATGAGATCGAAGAAGAAGAAGAAGAAGGTGGGAGCAGTAAGCTAACTGCTAATGCAAATGGAAATGGTTCGAGCTCTGGAATCAAAGAGAGTGCGATAAGAAGAGAAACCGAAGGCGAATTTAGGCTGTTAGGAAGAAGGGAGAAGAGTCAGTACAATGGTGGGAGACTTCTTGTGAATGAAGATGAACATCCCAGTAAACGAAGAGTATCGTTTAGATCAGTAGATCATGGAGAAGCATCTGTTATCAGTCTTGGGGATGAAGATGAGGAAGAAGATGGAAGCAATGGAGTAGAATGGGATGATGATCAGAGAGAACCAGAGATTGTTTGCAGGCACATTGATCATGTAAACATGTTAGGTCTCAACAAAACCACCTCAAGACTCCGGTACCTCATTAACTGGCTTGTGACCTCTCTGCTCCAGTTAAGGCTGCCTAAATCAGATTCAGATGGAGATCACAAGAATCTTGTTCAGATTTACGGTCCAAAGATCAAATACGAGCGTGGATCTTCCGTGGCATTCAATGTCAGGGATTTGAAAAGTGGAATGGTTCATCCTGAGATAGTGCAGAAACTAGCTGAAAGAGAAGGCATATCTCTAGGCATTGGTTACCTCAGTCACATAAAGATCATCGATAATCGAAGCGAAGATTCAAGTTCTTGGAAACCGGTGGATCGAGAGGGAAGAAACAATGGTTCCATAAGAGTTGAGGTTGTCACAGCTTCTCTGGGGTTCTTGACAAACTTTGAAGATGTTTACAGATTATGGAATTTCGTGGCTAAGTTCTTGAGTCCAGGTTTTGCTAAACAGGGGACACTCCCAACAGTTATTGAAGAAGATGATTCTTCAGAAACTTAAAAGACATGAGCAATGGATACATTTTTTCCAACACTTCCTTTACTGTACTTATTTGTTATTATTATCTGAGATGATTCTCTTGTATGATTTTGGGAAGTTGTGTGAGCAGAGATGATCTCAGACACGATTTCAGATGTCTGCATATTGTAACTGTTCATCTCTCTTCTATCTTTGTGTCACACAATTCATTGATTCATATCCAAATTTTAGAACCAGAAGAAATATCTAAAAAGCTGGGCATATCTAAACTTAATTCTTTTCAAGATTCCATCATATTTATGAGAAATGCGATTTCTAGTGCAGATTCCTTAGTCTGTAAGAACCGGTTTTCTTCGACAATGTCAGTAGTCAAATTGAGTAAGACTGGGCGTGTCGGGTCATGAAAGGTATTGTCACGGACTCTTGCAACCCATTTTGCAGCTTCCCATACACCAAATCTAACAATGCGAGAGAAGAAATCTCAGTCTTAAATCTCAAACATTGACAGAGTCGCCAAATTAGAAGAATGGATACTTACCGAGTATTGAATGAGGAAGTGACTAAAACAGCTGGATAGAGAACATCCTTAGGAATGTTGTCATAAGGTGAGTATTCACGTATGGCGTGAAAATCATCAATATCTCCTGGATATCCAAACTCTTCGTAATCCTCTGCCGTTAATGGTAGTATTGGATATATTAGAGTATGAGTTGGATCAAGAAAAGGAACCTGGAACAGAAGAAACAATATATGATTTTAAAAGGTTTCCTTATCAATCATTGCCTCAATGTTTTCGTGATCCACAGTTTTCTGATTACCTTTAGAACCGCAGCTTGGAAGAGTTCAGGGCAATGATTGATAGCTGAAGCAACAATGAGTCCTCCTGCACTATATCCCCAACCAGCAAGCTTGTTTTCTTCTACTATATTGTTCTCAACAAGGAACTTGGCACATTGAATGTAATCTTTGATGGAGTTAAGTTTCTTCGCGCCCCTTCCGTCTTGGTGCCACTTCTTTCCTTTCCCTCCTCCACCTCTAAAAAAATACTGAGAACAATGAATACATGAAGGAAGTCTTGCTTCTTGCTGTTGAAAGCCTGTTCTGAACGAGAAGAGAAAGATGATACTGACCTAACGTCTGCATATGCAAGTACCCAGCCACGATCAAGGAGGCTTTTAAGTTCACTACGCCATCTCTTATCAAGCATTTCACCATAAGCACCATGAACATGAAGCAGACCAGGTTTTCGATTTTCCTCTTTCTGAGCTCTTGAGTAAACAATACTTAATGGAACCATGGCTCCATCATGAGAAGAGACTTCATGGTAATCACAGGCGTAAAACTCGGCCAAGTCATTCCACAAGTTGTCATTGTTGGCAGTAGTATCCTCAGTATCAAAACTGACAGTTCTGGTGCCTGAGGGTATATTAGGGCTCTCGGTGGAGTTTGCAGTGCCGTATAAAACCCGTGTTCTTTCGTGAAGCATGTTTTGCTGCTGTACTATATTCCATTTTCCATTTAATAGATCGTAATCAACCACTGCATCAGGCATCTGCAGGCCAAAAGTATCTAAAACTCAAAAAAAGCTATCTACGGAAGCAGAAATAGCAAGAGAAATTGTTCTCCTACCACAAGAGAAGAAATTGTAAACCGCATTGTTGGAGAATTAAAGTCGTAGTTTGTGCCAGGAAAGATTTGGGAAACGTGCTTCGGAAGAGGAAGATAACGAGGTTTAATATCTCTCAGATGGACAGGTACCTGTTTATATGAAAACAGGCGTGGTCAAATTTATTCACAGAGGATCAATCTGATTGATGAAAGTAACTAAGTAGAGTAAGCTTTACCCGCTCTGTCTTTAGAGGTAGATCAACCACACAAATTTTAAAGCTCTGCATTTCCTTCACAATGAGGGATAGATGTGTTTTGCAGAAATCAACATCCTCTATGATTAATTCAGGGTTGTCGATAAAAACTGTCTGCAAATAATAGATGAACACATACAAATCAGAATGAAGTATAATACTAATCAGCAGATGAAAACAAATACTGAATCAGCTGAACCAACCTCCCAGATCCTTTGACTGGAAGAGAAGTGAACAGGACTTCGAAGAAGATAATGATGGTCGAGTGTTCCACCGTCATTGGAAGCATCTGTAAATAAATAGAGGAATCCCTGATGATGCTCGATTATGCAGTGGGCTGGAGCATTGTGTTCCCAAACCAATGCCAAACCAGAAAATGGGTCAGCTGCATTTATCAGAAAGACCTAAGACAGAGTACTTGTTATGATTCCAAGTCATTCAAAAACAATAAAAATTAAAGCTTTTAGCAGATCAGTTTGGAGCTTTCACCTTTGAAAACGTAGTAGAGAATGTATTTACAGTTACAAAGTGGAAATCTTTTGTATGTCTTATGTTAACATGAACATTGCCCTCAAGTTCCTCGTGAAGCAAAACATCTTCATCCGTTGACCCGATCATGCTACAATATATCCTGATAACAGAACCCAAAAAAAAAAAGATTCACACAGGCAATTTGTGGAAGAACCAAACAACCAAAATTGATCATATGAAACCTGAATGGCCGTTTTTTCTGATCAGTAACGACATAGAGCAAGGCCTGCCCATTTTTTGCCCACGCTATGTTGGAGACACGATCTGCGTGAGGCTTACTACATAAAGCTCCAGAATTCAAGTTTCTCACACACAACTTGAAGTAATCATTGTCCTTATCATACATAGTGTACGCTAGAAATTTATGGTCAGGGGATATCTCTGACATCTCTTCATAAGCATAACCTACAAAAGAGACCCCAAAATTGCTTATCCCTCTTAATCCGCCCCAAGTATAAGAGCCTCAAATTTGCTTACTTACCTCCAAATCTCTCAGCTTCCTGATTGTAATCAAGAAGCTTCTGCTCAATCCTCTTCCCAGATGTAAAATCAAACCCTGCAGCAGGAGATTTATGAGAAATGAACTCCTCGTGCAAGCTCGCTAGCCTCCTACACAGTACTGGATACTGCTTCCCTTCTTCAACACGTCTATAATACAACCTAATTCCATCAATTCAACTAAATAAATGCCCAATTGCCACATAAAGGACGAAACTTTCAAACTAATCGAGGAGTCTACAGATAGAAAAATCCAAGCTTTACTCTCAAAACGATGCTAAACAAGAGAATCTGTTGAATTGAATTGACCCACCAAGGTCCCCAACGAAGAGGAGGCGTGGAGAGCTCAAAGGACAAACGAGAAGCCATTTCAGACTGAAGCTTGGTCTGAATCCGATCAGTATCAGCCAAAACAGCTTCGGTATACTTCTCTTCTTGCTCCATATAGATATCCATATGCCTCATCGCCACTTTATCTTCCAGCTTCGACATCCAACTGTATGGATCCTCCCACGTGGCGTCGTGGAAGGTGAAAGTTTGAGGCTTCTTCGGCGGTTTTGGTAACGCTGGTGGTGGTGGAGGAGGCGGTTGGGACTTCGGAGGCTTGTAACGGCGACATTGTTGTTGCCGGAAACGACAATTACGACGGAAGAAGGTCCGAGAGAGATGGCTCAACATTTCCTCCGGTTATTTGGGGGTTTACAGGGTTTTTGCGTCTCAGGGATTTTTTATCATAAGAGCTTCAAAAATCGAATCTTCTCAATCATATAGAGGCGTTGTCAATTCGGATCATTTTATATAGTTTTTAACAATTTTAAATTAATTTGGATAAATTTCGAAATTTATAATTACGAAACGAGTAATTGGATACAAATGCTTGTTAGATTTAGCATGGACATTGAAAAATATCCGACCGTACAAAAAACTGGTCTTCCGGTCATTATCCATACAACCCAAATTACCACATATAGTTATACAAATTTATTTGTTTTTTACACATACGTATCTGATATAAATACTTAGTAACGAATCCAAACAAATAATCAAAAAGCATATTATGCATAATTTGTAAGCTCAGACGTTGGAAAAGCGCAATTTAATTTGGGCGGTCTATCAGATTCATTGCGACTCCTCTCCTCAAGCTCCATAACCCCCTTGGCCTTGATCTTGAACGTTATCATCATTTGCACAACTTGTTTCACATCTACTTTTGATGCTTCAGCTATCTCCATCATCCGTTCCTCGCTCATTTGCGTTACGTTTGGGTTATCAAGCTCTGCCAAATTGACCAAGAATATTATTCAATCGAGTAAAAAAACAAGTTTTGATCCATAAACCATAACCATGTCATAATTATTAGTATTACCTTCATCTGTCATGGACTCCATTATTGTCGTGCACCGCCTATACTTCTCTGGTTTAGCTTCGAACACCTAGAAGGACCAAGGTGGGAAAGCAACTACAGAGAATTTGGAAGAAACTTACGAGTTACAATGTCTTGTATTCCCTATAATAACTAAACAAGAGTTTATTGAGAGATGAAACTATACATTTTTCTCCAATCCTAATTCTCGCCTATAACAATGATACATTAGTCTCAAAGTATATTCATAGGGCTTATCCCATGGATTTTCTGCACAAAAGTGGACCAATCATGAGTGTCCATACTCATCAATGAGAAACCAAAGCAGAGAAGGATAAGACATGAAGGAATTTGCTTACTCAAGAGACTCCTGACAAAAGCTTCAGCTTCAAATGCTTCAAAATCCTCTCTCTTCTCTCCCGTTTCAGCTAATATCATGGGACACTTTGCTGCTGCAACACTTGACAACATGAAGAAGAAAAAAAACATCATTTGCATGAATAGACCAGGCACTTGAAGAAGAGATCACAAGATGATGTTATAGAAAATGAAAAGAAGAAAACTTGTAATAATGCTTACGCGCTGATAGCACCACAGGCTTTAGCGTTGCCGTGTATATTAGTAATAATGGCAACTCCACGAGGGAAACATTGCTTGAATGCTTGAGCTTGATCAAATGCAGCTTGACCAATACTGCTATCCATGACATATACAACACGAGCTGGATTCTGTAAGAAAGACCAAAAAAAAAGCCTACGTTAGCTGGTTACCATGATCAACAACAAGATAATAAAAAAAGAATAACAAAAACACACCATTGATTCGGCTAGTAGGCGCATCTCTTCAAACAATGTGGAATACTGTTTATGCCGGTCACTGGTGTCTACAATTATAAGGTCACGCTTGTCATTCTTGAACTTTGCGATTCCTTCAGCGGCAAGTGTTCCAGGATCTGTCGTGTAACTGAAAAGAAACCAACCAACCCAAATAGGTGAATTCGATCAAGACAACTGTATATTAGAATATGTTTGTCTATATATATATATATACCTTCCGTAAACTGGAACCTCATCTTTCGCAGCCTTGTTGAGCCGGACAAAAGCATCGATTCTGAAAGTATCAGCACACACTAAAGCTGGTCTGAATCCCTTCTTCCGGTGGTAACGAGCATACATGGCACACGTTTTGGTCTTGTCAACACCTACACACTCATATATTTCATAAATACGTTTTCTCAAACATTTTTACTAAAAACAAACAAAAATACAGACTAACCGACCTCGTAATCCGATGAACATGACTATGCTAGGTTCATGCTTTCCCCGGATGAGTGCAGATTTTCCCGGATCTAGCTTACTAGAGAGCTTAGCTAACATCACCTGAAGCGGTGGAGTTAGTTGAATCAAGAGACCCCCTAAGAAGGAGCACATATATATTACAAAGAATCAATCGTTACCTCGTAGATTAGTTTGCCCTTCCTCTTGGACGCCTTAGGGAGATTGATAATTTCCTGACTATTCCTCTCAATCTCATCCACGGCCAATCTAGGAAAATCGGCGTCAAGCAAAGCGCATGTGATCTCGTCCAAACAACTCTTCAATCTCATCCAATCCATGTTGCTTGTTTTACGCATCTCTTCAAAGGACCGGCCTATCCTACCTCTCACTTCCTCCAACGCCATCGACAAAATTAGAGATTCGGTCGCCAGAGTATGGTTGACTATTCCATGGTGCTTAGGTGGTTCGAGTCCAGCAATCCTACTCCTAGGGATTGTAGTTTTTGGTGACGTGGTTGATTCCTTGATTGAGTCTGTAGTCGACCCAAATCGGCAGGATTGGCCCGATTTGGTAAGTGTATGGGCCTTGGTATATTGTTTTTGAAGGTGTTAAGCTGTAAAAATCACAAGTTAAAGGGCTCTACACATATATAAGAAACTAGGGCAGAGAAAGCAAGTTATGATTATTTTTTTACCTTATTCTCTCTCTCTCTCTCTCTCTAAACCCTTGTCAGAGAAACATCACACAAGTTATAGATCCTCTCGTCTTTTCCAAGAATATCTTTTGCTTCTGTGATCTTCTTGATAACCCTCTTTAGTTTTAATTCAATCACTACCAAAAACCCTAACTACAGAAAAAATCATGGTTGAAGAAACTGCTGGTAAAGACTTAGAATTTTTCAAGGTCTTTCTCCCTGAATTCAGCTCTCACGAACTGGTATATCTCAATTCTTATATAATATCAAAAAATATATTCCATGCATGTTTTAAAGGAGATTAATTTACAAAATAAATCTGCAGGTGATTCCTCCTGCATTCATTGACATATTAGACAAGGAATTACCTAAAGAAGCGTTCTTAGTCGATGAGATCGGACGGTTATGGTGTGTCGAGACAAAAACAGAAGACACAGAAGAAAGATTCTGTGTTTTGTTCAAAAAAGGTTGGGAAAGTTTCGCAAACGATCAATCTCTTGAATTTGGAGACTTTCTTGTGTTTCGCTACGACGGCGATTCGAGATTCTCCGTTACGATTTTCGCTAAAGACGGATGTAAAAAAGATATTGGTGTCGTCACAACCACGGATAGATCTAGGGTTTCTGTTGATGAGAAAGAACCGGTTGATATTTCTACTGAACCGGAACTTAGGAAAGATTGTGGCCATAGGATTAACCAGAAACGGAAACGCGATTCGGTTAATGAAGATCCTCGTGTTATGGTTAACAATAAACCGGATTATGTTTCAACTAACAAAACCAAACCGGAGCATCGTGAAAAGACTCAGAGAACAGTTAACCGGGCTGGAGGTAATTAACATTTTTTTTTTTTTGGTTTAATTAACATTATTGCGTTTTTTTAACTTTTTTTCATTCGGTGTTACGTAGATCCTTGTGACATATCATGGTGTCCTGAGAAGGAACACAATGGATTTGAAGAATCGGTTTATAAACCCAAGCATCCTCATTTTCTAAGGAATATCACAATCGCTTCACTTCAGAAATTGGTGAGCTTAAAGAACCGTTTTTATAAATCTGTCTTAACTCTTAATAATGGTTGTTTACATAATATCAATTTCTATGTGTTGCTAGGAAATACCGTTAACTTTTCTGAGATCGAACGGGATTGAATTGGAGGAAGAAGTTGGGCTTTGTGATGAAAATGGAAAGAAGTGGCCTTTGAAGATTGTGAATCACGGTAGAGGAGTCAAGTTCTCGCATGAATCATGGTTGTGTTTCTGTAAAAGCCATAACATGATGCTGACCCATAAGTGTCTATTTGAGTTTATTGTCCCAAGTAATGGGAGATGCAACGAGATTCAAGTTCGTATTGTCAGTGGGAGATTGCCTACCACTATGACTAGACATAAATACCAAGTTCTTGCTATGTAACCTTAAGAATATACAACTCTATGTTATGTTTTTGCTTCTTTTATGAATCTTTTGTGTTACTGTTATTTCTTATTATATAGTTTCACAAATTTAGATTTTTGTAAATCAGTTAGAATAATCCCAAATTCCAAATTATATGGTTCTTACTAACATTTTAAAAGATTGTGTTGATTGAACATAAATTGAGGTTATCTACCGTTTGTGTCATAACTTGTTTCCAAAAATTTAAACAAAATTACTCTTTTTAGCAAACTAATGCGACTTCAAGATGGCCTAAGCTAGCCTTTTCTAATGGCTAATGTTTTGGTTGGTGGTATACTAAACGGTGAATTTGTATTTCGTAACGTAAAACTTGTGATCATTAAAATGATAAACATGTTAAAAAAAATAATGCTATTTTATCATTCGACTATTCCTTTTCTATACTATTTATTTATGTGCCATACACTCATACCGTTTAATTTATTAGAAAAATTAGAGAGTAGAAAAATGGAGTTGTAATTATTAATTCAATATGATTATGTTAATTGTAAAATATAATTGTCGTTATGTGTCGTTAACGCAAGCAATGGCAAGAATAAAGTACTCCATTTAAGGCATTAAGAAGGCAGTAATCGCAAGGGGATAGATTAATTCAACGCGAAAGCGAATTGCACGTAGGAGAGCACATAGTTTGTGTACCTTTCTTATAAATAAACTAATGAAATGCCAAATCAGCCACCAGTTTTCACAGAACCAACGGGACAAGAGCCCAACGTAATATCTATTTATTTTCCACTAAAAATAAAAAGAATTTTTAATAAACAACTAATAATATTATCTGAATACGAAGTCTCACCTATCCATTAGACCATTAATATATATAAATACACACGAGTGTGTTGTTTACTACACAATATCTTCTTTGTTCCATCAACAACAAGAAATCGAAAAGCTTTCTATTTTTTTCTTTTTATCTCTAGTACAATGGAGTTTGTGATTTTGGAAGGAGAGGTGAGTTCGAAAGAGGAGCAAGTAGTGTCAAAGCAGCTACATCTGATATCGTCTGAAACGCAAACGCAAACGCAAACGCTGAACAGAAGAGCCGTTCTAAACCGCATCCGCAACCACAAATGTATTCACAAAATCAAGAGTCTTCTCCACACCACCGCGGCTAATGACGGAGCCACCGTCGATGCTGATTATCGGTGGATTGATAGTGGCGATGTCTTCTCTTGTCCGTGAAATGGGCAGAGACTTTGACACGTGTATGTCACGAGTGTGTTTGTGATTCTCTCTTGTCTCTAATATCCAAATACAAGTTGTGTTATATGTAACTCTTTCTAGTGAGTAAGTGATCATCATAAAATTGTAGTTTTTCGATGTTCATGATTTATTGATCAGTTCACCGTTGATCTTTAGCAAATTCATTATTGGAATGCGCGGTGCGGTGGATAAATTGGGCCATGACTGATTATTACTTTGTTTGGGCTTTCTCAAATACTAATTTAAGCCCAATAAAAACCAAATCGAATCAAATAAAAAGAAAAACGATTCATTCGAATTTTTTTAGTTGTAAAAGACCACCAATTCAACTAAAAAAACTAAAAAGTCAAAACAAAAAAAACAAAATAAAAACTGGAATGGATCCAAGTTTCATGAGAATTAGATTATAATCAAAAGAGACGACTAGCTAGTACTCTTATCTTGGTTTTGCACGCCTCGTCATATAGTACCAAACTTAACTTAAGTCATAGAAGGTTAGATCTCTCTACACACGAGCTCTTGCTCTCATGAAGAAGACGAGAAGAGCCGTCTCTGTTTGTATTTAGCCTTGAAGCAAGCCTGTCTTAACCTCTTAGTCTTGTCCCCAAATTCCAAATCCGGAACTTCCTCAATCATCTTCTTCTCCATCTCCAAAAGCTCCAAAGCGTTCCTCAGCTTACTCTTGGGCGTTTTCCCCTCCGTGTTCCCTAATAAGTCCTTTCAAAACGACCATCACATATATAAGTGTTATTACCCCAAAATGTATAAGCAAGTCGATTGTATATATGTCTGTTGACGCACGCACCTTGAGATTAGCAATTAGAGCATTAAGGCTCGTGAGCTTACGGTGAGGCCAACGAGGAATACCTAACTCACGACATCTTTTCTTCAAGAGGGTTACACCAATGTTAAGCTCCTTGGCTGCTTTAGTTATCGGCATGTAGAAGTACTGCTTCATCATTTCCCTTGACAAACTATTGATGTCTCCATCTTCTCTATATCGCCTCTTCATAATTATCCTCTTCTGGCTTGTTTTCTCTTTTATAGTTGTGTTAACATCTTCATGCAATATTTTCTCCATCTTTGGATCTCCCATGGTATTAGTTCTTGAAATATCATCAAGAATTGGTTCGACCTGGTTATTGTAGTTACCATTATTATCATTCCACCATCCGCTCATTATATCTGCTACACAATGTATATAAGATTAGAATTACAATCCAAACTTGCATATATGTGTGTGTATATCTACATGCATATATGTATATATATACCTAGAGAGAAAGTACTAGAGATTGCTTCAAGATCAAGTGAAGCCAGAAACGTATGATCAGCCGCAAAGGTAGTAGATATAGGATTAACAATGCTGTCTTGGAAAGAAAACCAAGTTTGGGTTTGAAAATCCTTAAAAGGGTTAATGAAAGAGCTGCAAAAACTCAAAACAACCCAAAAAGCATTTTAGATTCTTCTAACGCAAGCAAATCATTTTTTTTGTTTAATCAAACAGTTACCTGTGACTTACCTGTGAGGATCGATGGAAAGTGATTGATCAAGAAACGAGAATATGTCTTCTTGAAGGAATGATTCATAGTTGTTGGCCTCTGACCAGACCATTAGAGGTTTTTGATCAGCCATTTCGATTGAAAATAAAAGGTATATAGATATATTGTAACGTTCTTTTGTTTTAGAAGGAGGAAACTACTAATCGTGTGTATGTGTATATATACATAAACACTTAAACGTATATTCATAGACAGAGAAAGTACATGAGAAGTGGGAAGTGGGTATTTAGTTCTCCGAGATGATGAGCCGTCAAAATCATTATATGTTTTCTGTAAGTTACGAGAGAGATAGTAAGTAGAAATTAATGATTAGTGTTGATTATTTTGGTTAATAGGGATAAGTCGTTGATTGATGCTAATTATTTCTTCAAATAGTAGGCCCTAAGTTGTAAACGTTCAAAATATTTCATAGGCTTAGGTTCCCCATCCCATCTCATGCAATGCGAGTTCATGATATCTTTTGCTTGTTGTCATCTTTCAAAATCTTCTCTTTTTTCAAAAATAATCATGAAAATCTCTTTTCTCTTTAGGGACGTATATTTGCGTGAATATATATATTTTACGCATAAATAATTAGATATTGATGTATAAAACATAGGGTTCCATACAAAAATCGGAGGAAAAAAGTGGGGTGTTACATGCAAGCAGTGCCGGCTCAGATGGGTGGGCGGGCGGTGCGACGGCCAGGGGTCCAATCCCGTAGTCCAATAATTAAGGGCCCATTTTCTAAAATATTTTTTAAAAAATATTAAAAAATTAGATTATAACACAAAAATAAAATTAAAAAAGTCGAAATTTTTTATTTATTGTTTTTAGTATTAGTAATTAATATTTTTAACAAAAATAGTATAAAGATTTTTTTTTGCCTTAGGGCCCAT